CCCCCGTGTAGCCTCTAGCAGGCTGTAGGGGCAAGTGCTGTTCCACACACACACAGGCAAAGGTCCCCCGTGTAGTCTCTAGCAGGCTGTAGGGGCAAGTGCTGTTAGCGAGCACACGTACACACACACACACCACGCAGACACACCAGCACACACACACGTACACGCAGACACCACCACCAACCACGCATAGACACACACACACACCTCTACACACACGTACGTACATACGTACACACCACACACACACACGCAGACACACAGACACACACACAGACACACACACACACGTACACGCAGACACACATCACCCACCACGCACACACACACCACGCATAGACACACACACCACACAAAGATAAAAAAAAAGACAAAGATCCCCCGTGTAGCCTTAACAGACTGTAGAGGCAAGTGCTGTTAGCGAGCACCTATGAAGGCCGGAACGGTACACGAGGGAGTGGGTGGCCAGCACCACGCCCGACCGCCTTTGTCTCCCTAGTGGCAAATGTTTACACACCGCACCAGGTACTCATTTGAGGCTGAGTCGACCTAGGGAAGGCCCGGGACCAGTTCAGATAATCGTCACTGGTGTTGGCCGTGAGCGGGAATCGAACCCGGGTCGCCGGGTTCATAGCGCAGCGCGCTAACCGCTGCACCACCGCTCCCCACACACAGACACACACACACGCAGACACACATCACCCACCACGCACACACACACACCACGCATAGACACACACACACACACATCTACACACACACACGTACACGCAGACAAACATCACCCACCACGCACACACACACGCACAGAGACACACACACACGTACACGCAGACACACATCACCCACCACGCACCACACACACACCACGCATAGACACACACACACACACATCTACACACACACACGTACACGCAGACAAACATCACCCACCACGCACACACACACGCACAGAGACACACACACACGTACACGCAGACACACATCACCCACCACGCACACACACACACCACGCATAGACACACACACACACGTCTACACACACACACGTACACGCAGACACACATCACCCACCACGCACACGCACAGAGACACACACACACGTACACGCAGACACACATCACCCACCACGCACACACACACACCACGCATAGACACACACACGTCTACACACACACACGTACACGCAGACAAACATCACCCACCACGCACACGCACAGAGACACACACACACGTACACGCAGACACACATCACCCACCACGCACACACACACACACCACGCATAGACACACACACGTCTACACACACACACGTACACGCAGACAAACATCACCCACCACGCACACACACACGCACAGAGACACACACACACGTACACGCAGACACACATCACCCACCACGCACACACACACACCACGCATAGACACACACACACACACGTCTACACACACACACGTACACGCAGACACACATCACCCACCACGCACACACACGCACAGAGACACACACACACGTACACGCAGACACACATCACCCACCACGCACACACACACACCACGCATAGACACACACACACACGTCCTACACACACACACGTACACGCAGACACACATCACCCACCACGCACACGCACACGCACAGAGACACACACACACGTACACGCAGACACACATCACCCACCACGCACACACACACACCACGCATAGACACACACACACGTCTACACACACACACGTACACGCAGACACACATCACCCACCACGCACACGCACACGCACAGAGACACACACACACGTACACGCAGACACACATCACCCACCACGCACACACACACACCACGCATAGACACACACACACACGTCTACACACACACACGTACACGCAGACACACATCACCCACCACGCACACGCACACGCACAGAGACACACACACACGTACACGCAGACACACATCACCCACCACGCACACACACACACCACGCATAGACACACACACACACACGTCTACACACACACACGTACACGCAGACACACATCACCCACCACGCACACACACACGCACAGAGACACACACACACGTACACGCAGACACACATCACCCACCACGCACACACACACACCACGCATAGACACACACACGTCTACACACACACACGTACACGCAGACAAACATCACCCACCACGCACACACACACGCACAGAGACACACACACACGTACACGCAGACACACATCACCCACCACGCACACACACACACCACGCATAGACACACACACACACACGTCTACACACACACACGTACACGCAGACAAACATCACCCACCACGCACACACACACGCACAGAGACACACACACACGTACACGCAGACACACATCACCCACCACGCACACACACACACCACGCATAGACACACACACACACACGTCTACACACACACACGTACACGCAGACACACATCACCCACCACGCACACACACACGCACAGAGACACACACACACGTACACGCAGACACACATCACCCACCACGCACACACACACACCACGCATAGACACACACACACACACACGTCTACACACACACACGTACACGCAGACACACATCACCCACCACGCACACACACGCACAGAGACACACACACACGTACACGCAGACACACATCACCCACCACGCACACACACACACCACGCATAGACACACACACACACGTCTACACACACACACGTACACGCAGACACACATCACCCACCACGCACACACACACACCACGCATAGACACACACACACACACACGTACGTACACACACACACACACGCACACGGGAGTACTGTGGGGTCACAGGAGTCACGACCTCACCACAAGCAGGAAACCAGGAGCAGAGACACCGCACCGATAGCGCTCACCCAGCCACCAAAACACTCAGTCACCAACCAACCCACACACCTCACCAACCCACCAACCCACTCACCAACCCACCAACCCACCAACCCACCAACCCACTCACCCACTCACCCACTCACCAACCCACCAACCCACTCACCCACTCACCCACTCACCCACTCACCAACCCACCAACCCACCAACCCACTCACCAACCCACCAACCCACCAACCCACCAACCCACTCACCCACTCACCCACTCACCAACCCACCAACCCACTCACCCACTCACCCACCCACCAACCCACCAACCCACCAACCCACCAACCCACTCACCCACTCACCAACCAACCCACCCACTCACTAACCCACCCACTCACCCACCCACCCACTCACTAACCCACCCACCCACTCACCCACCCACCCACCAACCCACCAACCCACTCACCCACTCACCAACCCACCAACCCACCTCACCCACTCACCAACCAACCCACTCACTAACCCACCCACTCACCAACCCACCAACCCACTCACCCACTCACCAACCCACCAACCCACCTCACCCACTCACCAACCAACCCACTCACTAACCCACCCACTCACTCACTAACCCACCCACTCACTCACTAACCCACCCACTCACTCACTAACCCACCCACTCACTCACTAACCCACCCACCCACTCACCCACCCACTCACCCACCCACTCACCCACCCACTCACCCACCCACTCACCCACCCACTCACCCACCCACTCACCCACCCACTCACCCACCCACTCACCCACCCACTCACCCACCCACTCACCCACCCACTCACCCACCCACTCTGCAGTGTGTAGGAGAGTGAGAGGGATCGTAGGCAGACACACGGCGTGACCTTGCAAGCATCACGCACAGCCCTGCTGTGCGCGCCTTGTGGGTGAGCGGGCGAGTGAGTTGGTAAACAGATGGGTGAGCGAGTGGGTGAACGAGTGAGTGAGTGGGTGAGCAGATGGGTGAGTGAGTGGGTGAGCAGATGGGTGAGTGAGTTGGTAAACAGATGGGTGAGCGAGTGGGTGAACGAGTGAGTGAGTGAGTGGGTGAGCAGATGGGTGAGTGAGTGGGTGAGCAGATGGGTGAGCGAGTGGGTGAACGGGTGAGTGAGTGAGTGGGTGAGTGAGTGAGTGAGTTGGTAAACAGATGGGTGAGCGAGTGGGTGAACGGGTGAGTGAGTGGGTGAGTGAGTGAGTTGGTGGGTTGGTGAGTGGGTGAGTGGGTTGGTGGGTTGGTGAGTGGGTGAGTGAGTGAGTGAGTTGGTAAACAGATGGGTGAGCGAGTGGGTGAACGGGTGAGTGAGTGAGTGAGTGGGTGAGTGGGTGAGTGAGTTGGTGGGTTGGTGAGTGGGTGAGTGGGTTGGTGGGTTGGTGAGTGGGTGAGTGAGTGAGTTGGTAAACAGATGGGTGAGCGAGTGGGTGAACGGGTGAGTGAGTGAGTGAGTGGGTGAGTGAGTGAGTGAGTTGGTGGGTTGGTGAGTGGGTGAGTGGGTTGGTGAGTGGGTGAGTGGGTGAGTGAGTTGGTAAAAAGATGGGTGAGCGAGTGGGTGAACGGGTGGGTGAGTGAGTGGGTGAGCAGATGGGTGAGCGAGTGGGTGAACGGGTGAGTGAGTGAGTGAGTGGGTGAGCAGATGGGTGAGCAGGTGGGTGAGCAGATGGGTGAGCGAGTGGGTGAATGGGTGAGTGAGTGAGTGGGTGAGCAGATGGGTGAGTGAGTGGGTGAGCAGGTGGGTGAGCAGATGGGTGAGCGAGTGGGTGAACGGGTGAGTGAGTGAGTGGGTGAGTGAGTGAGTGGGTGAGCAGGTGGGTGAGCAGATGGGTGAGCGAGTGGGTGAATGGGTGAGTGAGTGAGTGGGTGAGCAGATGGGTGAGTGAGTGGGTGAGCAGATGGGTGAGTGAGTGGGTGAGCAGGTGGGCGAGCAGGTGGGCGAGCGGGTGGGTGGGTGGGTGAGAAAGTGGGTGGGTGAGCGAGCGAGCGGGTGAGTGGGTGGGCGGGCGGGTGGGTGGGCGAGCGGGCGGGCGAACGAGCGAGTGAGCGGATGGGTGAGCGGGCGGGCGAGCGAGCGAGTGGGCGAGTGGCTCACCGCTTCCTCCCCGGGTTGTAGAGGTTGAGCTGGGGGTGAGTGGCGAGGTGGACGCTCCACAGCTCCGTGTTGCCGACAGTCTGGGCAAAACACCTGCAGGGGGAGAGAGAGTTACTCACCCACCACACTCACCACCACCACTCACCAACACCACCACCACTCACCAACACCACCACCACTCACCAACACCCACACCACCACTCACCAACACCCACCCCACCCCACCCCAACACCCACCACCCACCCCAACACCCACCACCCACCAACACCCACCACCCACCAACACCCACCACCCACCAACACCCACCACCCACCAACACCCACACACCCACCCACCCACCCCACTCACCCCCACACACCACCCCCCACCAACACCCACACACCCACCCACCCCACTCACCAACACCCACCCCACCCTACTCACCACCCCACCCACCAACACCCACCCCACTCACCAACACCACCCCACCCTACTCACCACCCACCCCACCCACCACCCACCCCACCCACACCCCACTCACTCACTCACCACCCCACCCACCACCCCACTCACTCACTCACCACCCCACCCACTCCCCCACTCACTCACTCACCACCCCACCCACTCACTCACCCACTCACCACCCCACCCACCCACCCACTCACCACCCCACCCACTCACTCACCACCCCACTCACCTCACCCCACCCACCCCCCCCACCCCCCACTCACCAACCCACCTCACACGATCAGCCGACCCCCCCAGGTAGCGCCCATGCTCCACGTGACGTAGGGCCCAGCGCCCATCAGGCCTGGCCTGCAGGCCCCACTCACTCACCACTCACTCACCATCCCACTCACCACTCACCACCACCACTCACTCACCACCACCTCACCACCCCACTCACCACTCACTCACCACCACTCACTCACCATCCCACTCACTCATTCACCACCCCACCCACTCACTCACTCACCACCAACACCACTCACCACACCACTCACTCACTTACTCACCATTCCACTCACCACCACCCCACTCACCACTCACCACCCCACTCACCACCTCACTCACACCACACCACCCACCCACCCCTCACACCAACCCACCTCACACGATCAGCCGAGCCCCCCAGGTAGCGCCCATGCTCCACGTGACGTAGGGCCCAGCGCCCATCAGGCCTGGCCTGCAGGCCCCACTCACTCACCACTCACTCACTCACCATCCCACTCACCACTCACCACCCCACTCACCACCCCACTCACCACCCACTCACCACCCCACCTCACCACCCCACTCACCACCCCACTCACCACCCCACTCACCACCCCACTCACCACCCCACTCACCACCCCACTCACCACCCCACTCACCACCCCACTCACCACCCCACTCACCACCCCACTCACCACCCCACTCCCACTCACTCACCACCCCACTCACCACCCCACTCACCACCCCACTCACCACCCCACTCACCACCCCACTCACCACCCCACTCACCACCCCACTCACCACCCCACTCACCACCCCACTCACCACCCCACTCACCACCCCACTCACCACCCCACTCACACTCACTCACCACCCCACCCACTCACTCACTCACCACCAACACCACTCACCATTCCACTCACTCACTCACCACCCCCACCCACTCACTCACTCACTCACCACCCACACCACTCACTCACTCACCACCCACTCACCCCACCACCTCACCCACACCCACACCAACCCACCTCACACGATCAGCCGACCCCCCCAGGTAGCGTCCGTGCTCCACGTGACGTAGGGCCCAGCGCCCATCAGGCCTGCAGGCCCCACTCACTCACCACCCCACTCACCACCCCACTCACCACCCCACTCACCACCCCACTCACCACCCCACTCACCACCCCCACTCACCACCCCCACTCACCACCCCACTCACCACCCCACTCACCACCCCACTCCCCACCCCACTCCCACTCACTCACCACCCCACTCACCACCCCACTCACCACCCCACTCACCACCCCACTCACCACCCCACTCACCACCCCACTCACCACCCCACTCACCACCACCCCACTCACTCACCCCACTCACTCACCCCACTCACTCACCCACTCACCACCCCACTCACTCACTCCCCCACTCACTCACTCACCACCCCACACCAACCCACCTCACGCGATCAGCCGACCCCCCCAGGTAGCGCCCATGCTCCACGTGACGTAGGGCCCAGCGCCCATCAGGCCTGCAGGCCCCACTCACTCACCACTCACTCACCATCCCACTCACCATCCACTCACCATCCCACTCACCATCCACTCACCAACCCACTCACTCACCACACCACCCACTCACTCACTCACCACCAACACTCACCATTCCACTCACCACCACCCCACTCACTCACTCACCACCACCCCACTCACTCACTCACTCACCACCCACTCACTCACTCACTCACCACCCACACCACTCACTCACTCACCACCCACATCACTCACTCACTCACCACCCACACCACTCACTCACTCACCACCCACACCACTCACTCACTCACCCCACCACCTCACCACCACCCACCTCACACGATCTGCCGACCCCCCCAGGTAGCGCCCATGCTCCACGTGACGCAGGGCCCAGCGTCCATCAGGCCTGCAGGCCCCACTCACCACCCACTCACCACCACCTCACCACCCCACTCACTCACCATCCCACTCACTCACCATCCCACTCACTCACTCACCACACCACCCACTCACTCACTCACCACCAACACCACTCACCACACCACTCACTCACTTACTCACCACCCCACTCACTCACTCACTCACCACCCACTCACCCCACCACCACACCACCACCCACCTCACACGATCAGCCGAGCCCCCCAAGTAGCGCCCATGCTCCACGTGACGCAGGGCCCAGCGTCCATCAGGCCTGGCCTGCAGGCCCCAGGCCGTGGCCACGCCGGGGGTCTCCGCGTCGCAGCTCACGGCGCCGTCGCGATCCGCCCCGAGCAGCCGCCCCAGGTGGGAGCGCAGGCTCACGGTGCCGCCATCACCGGCACCGCCATCACCGGTGCCGGTGATGCCGGTGCCGGCAGGGAGAGTCTCCAAAGTCCACGTCTGCTTCTTCTTGAGCGACGAGCCCGAGGCGGTGACCTTGAAGCCGAACGTCTCGGCCGTCAGGTAGCCGCCCGCACTGCTCACCAGGCCCAGCTGCAGGCTGCGGGGCGGACCGTCGGACATGGCGGCGGTGGTGGCGGTGTTGGTAGGGATGGTGACGGTGGTGGTAGGGATGGTGGTGGTGGCGGTGGGGATGGTGGTGGTGGTAACGGTAGAGGTGGTGGTGATGGCGGTGGTGACGGTGGTGGAGGAGTGGTGGCTGATGGAGAGGAGACACGGAATCAGCTGCCTGCACCAACACGGACGGACGAGGAGGGAGGGAGAAGGGGGGTGAGAGAGTGAGTGGCTGAGTGAGTGAGTGGCTGAGTGGCTGAGTGGCTGAGTGAGTGAGTGGCTGAGTAGCTGAGTGAGTGAGCGAGCGAGCGAGTGAGGGGCTGAGTGAATGTCTGAGTGAGTGAGTGAGTGGCTGAGTGAGTGAGTCGCTGAGCGAGTGAGTGGCTGAGCGAGTGAGTGGCTGAGCGAGTGAGCGAGTGGCTGAGCGAGTGAGTGGCTGAGCGAGTGAGTGAGTGGCTGAGTGAGTGAGTGGCTGAGTGAGTGAGTGGCTGAGTGAGTGAGTGGCTGAGTGAGTGAGTGGCTGAGTGACCGAGTGGCTGAGTGAGTGAGTGGCTGAGTGACCGAGTGGCTGAGTGAGCGAGTGGCTGAGTGAGCGTTCGAGTGAGTGGCTGAGTGAGCGAGTGACCGAGTGGCCGAGTGGCCGAGTGACCGAGTGACCGAGTGACCGAGTGGCTGAGTGACCGAGTGGCTGAGTGGCTGAGTGAGTGAGTGAGCATTAATGATCCAGATGTTCAAAAGCCAACGTTGAGTCAACGTCCGGTAACCGTTGGCTCTGCGTGGAAGTTTCGCGGATTTCCGCGCCCCAATCCCCCTTCCCACCGACCGTTCTTAAATCCACTGGGCCCTCCCCTAGGTCGACTCTGCCTCAAATGAGTGCCTGGTGTAGCGGCAGTGCAGTGTAAACATTGGAGGGGGGGAGAGGGGAGAGACAAAGGCGGCCGGGCGTGGGGTGGGGTGGGGTGGTGGTGGTGAGGGTGGTGGTGGTGGTGTGGGGTGGTGGTGGGGTGGGGTGGTGGTGTGGGGGTGGTGGTGATGGTGGTGGCGTGGTGGTGGTGGTGTGGGGGTGGTGGTGATGGTGGTGGCGTGGTGGTGGTGGTGTGGGGGTGGTGGTGGTGGCGTGGGTGGGCGTGGTGGTGGTGGTGTGGGGGTGGTGGTGGTGGCGTGGGTGGGGGTGATGGTGGGGTGGTGGTGGGGGTGGTGGTGGTGGTGTGGGGTGGTGGTGATGGTGGGGGTGGTGGTGGGGGTGATGGTGGGGGTGGTGGTGGGGGTGGTGGTGGTGGTGTGGGGTGGTGGTGGTGGTGGTGATGGTGGGGTGGGGTGGTGGTGGTGATGGCGATGGTGATGGCGATGGTGGTGATGGTGGTGGTGGTGGTGGGGTGGAGGTCGTGATGGTGGTGGAGTGGTGATGATGGTGATGGTAGTGGTGATGATGGTGATGGTGGTGGTGGTGGTGGGGTGGAGGTGGTGATGGTGGTGGTAGTGGTGATGATGGTGATGGTGGTGGTGATGGTGGGTGGAGGTGGTGATGGTGGTGGTGGTGGGGTGGAGTGGTGATGGTGGTGATGGTGGTGATGGTGGTGATGGTGGTGATGGTGGTGGTGATGGTGGTGGTGATGGTGGTGATGGTGGTGGTGGGGTGGAGGTGGTGATGGTGGGGTGGAGTGGTGATGGTGGTGATGGTGGTGATGGTGGTGATGGTGGTGATGGTGGTGATGGTGTGCGGTGGGGTGGTGATGGCCACGTGTCCCATTGGTGTGCGTCACAACGCCGGCCCGCTGGGTGTGCCGCTCACTACGCACAACACGGAGCCCCGACAGCGCAACAGGGGAGGCTACAGGGGGGGGGGGGGGGGGGTCAATGAGTGAGTGGGTGGGTGGGTGAGTGGGTGGGTGGGTGAGTGAGTGAGTGAGTGGGTGGGTTGGGTGAGTGGGTGGGTGGGTGGTGAGTGAGTGAGTGGGTGGGTGGGTGAGTGAGTGAGTGGGTGGGTGAGTGAGTGGGTGGGTGAGTGTGAGTGAGTGGGTGGTGGGTGGGTGAGTGAGTGAGTGGGTGGGTGAGTGAGTGAGTGAGTGGGTGGGTGGGTGAGTGAGTGAGTGGGTGGGTGAGTGGGTGAGTGAGTGGTGGGTGGGTGAGTGAGTGAGTGGGTGGGTGAGTGAGTGAGTGAGTGGGTGGGTGGGTGAGTGAGTGAGTGGGTGGGTGAGTGGGTGAGTGAGTGAGTGGGTGGTGAGTGGGTGAGTGAGTGAGTGGGGGTGGTGGGTGGGTGAGTGGGTGGTGGTGAGGTGAGTGGTGGGTGGGTGGGTGAGTGGGTGGGGGTGAGTGGTGAGTGGGTTGGTGGTGAGTGGGTGGTGGGTGGTGGGGGGGTGGGTGGGAGTGAGTGAGTGTGGGTGGGGGGTGAGTGAGTGAGTGGGGTGAGTGAGTGGGTGGGTGAGTGAGTGTGAGTGGGTGGGTGAGTGAGTGAGTGGGTGGGTGAGTGAGTGAGTGAGGGTGGGTGGGTGAGTGATGAGTGGGTGGTGAGTGGGTGAGTGAGTGAGTGGGTGGGTGAGTGAGTGAGTGGGTGGGTGAGTGAGTGGGTGAGTGGGTGGTGGGTGAGTGAGTGAGTGGGTGGGTGAGTGGGTGAGTGAGTGAGTGGGTGGGTGAGTGGGGTGAGTGAGGGTGAGTGGGTGGGTGGGTGAGTGGGTGGGTGAGTGAGTGAGTGAGTGGGTGGGTGGGTGAGTGGTGGGTGGGTGAGTGAGTGAGTGGGTGGGTGGGTGAGTGGGTGAGTGAGTGAGTGGGTGGGTGAGTGAGTGGTGGGTGAGTGAGTGAGTGAGTGGTGGGTGGTGAGGGTGAGTGAGTGGGTGGGTGAGTGAGGAGTGAGTGGGTGGGTGGGTGATGAGTGAGTGGGTGGGTGAGTGGGTGAGTGAGTGAGTGGGTGGGTGAGTGAGTGAGTGGGTGGGTGAGTGAGTGAGTGAGTGGGTGGGTGGGTGAGTGGTGTGTGGGTGGGTGAGTGGGTGATGGTGAGTGGGTGGGTGAGTGGTGGGTGAGTGGTGAGTGGAGTGAGTGGGTGAGTGAGTGAGTGAGGTGGTGGGTGTGATGTTGAGGTGAGTGAGGTGAGTGAGTGGGTGGTGAGTGGGTTAGTGGTGAGTGGGTGAGTGGGATGGGTGAGTGGGTGGGTGAGTGAGTGGGGTGAGGTGAGGTGAGGGGGGTGAGTGGGTGAGTGAGTGAGGTGGGTGGAAGTGAGTGAGTGAGTGTGGGTGGGTGAGTGAGGTGAAGTGAGTGTGTGAGTAGTGGTGGTGAGATGGGTGGGTGAGTGGGTGGGTGAGGGGTGAGTGGGTATGGGTGAGTGGGTGGGTGGGTGGGTGAGTGGAGTGAGTGAGTGGGTGGGTGGTGGGTGGGTGGGTGAGTGGGTGAAGTGGGTGGGTGGTGAGTGGGTGTGTGGTGATGAGGGGTGGGTGAGTGAGTGGTTGGATGGGTAGTGAGTGGGTGAGTGGGTGGGTGGGTGAGTGGGTGGGTGGGTGAGTGGGTGGGTGAGTGGTGAGTGGGTGGGTGAGTGGGTGAGTGGGTGGGTGGGTGGGTGAGTGGGTGGGTGGGTGGGTGGGTGAGTGGGTGGGTGAGTGGGTGAGTGGGTGAGTGAGTGGGTGGGTGAGTGAGTGGGTGGATGGGTGAGTGGGTGAGTGGGTGGGTGGGCGAGAGGGTGGGTGGGTGACTGAGTGAGTGAATGAGCAGTGGGTGGGTGATTGAGCGAGTGGATGATTGAGTGAGTGGGGTGAGCGAGTGGGTGGGTGAATGAGCAGTGGGTGAGTGAGTGGGTGGGTGAGTGGGTGAGTGAGTGGGTGAGTGGGTGGGTGGGTGAGTGGGTGGGTGGGTGGGTGAATGAGCGAGTGGATGAGTGAGTGGGTGAGTGGGTGAGCGAGTGGGTGAGTGAATGAGTGGGTGAGTGAATGAGTGGGTGTGTGAGTGGGTGAATGAGCGATGCTGCTGCTCGCTACTAACAGCCCTTGCCCCAACATCCCGTCAGAGGTTACATGGGGGATCTTTGTCTTTGTGGGCTCAGAGGAAGGAGGTTCTAAAAATGGGGAAGGAAATTGCCACTCCGGGAGATGGAATTAAACCAAGTCAAGGCCATCAATAAGCAGCAGAGCGGATGCAATGGGTTATTTAAATGGTGAGATGTTGACTACCTCGCCTGGTATACAGGAGGTCGTGGGTTCAATCCCTGGACCCTGTGAGATGTTGACTACCTCGCCTGGTCTACAGGAGGTCGTGGGTTCGATCCCAGCCCCTGTGAGATGTTGACTACCTCGCCTGGTGTACAGGAGGTCGTGGGTTCGATCCCAGCCCCTGTGAGATGTTGACAACCTCGCCTGGTGTACAGGAGGTCGTGGGTTCGATCCCAGCCCCTGTGAGATGTTGACTACCTCGCCTGGTCTACAGGAGGTCGTGGGTTCGATCCCAGACCCTGTGAGATGTTGACAACCTCGCCTGGTCTACAGGAGGTCGTGGGTTCGATCCCAGACCCTGTGAGATGTTGACAACCTCGCCTGGTGTACAGGAGGTCGTGGGGTTCGATCCCAGCCCCTGTGAGATGTTGACTAACCTCGCCTGGTCTACAGGAGGTCGTGGGTTCGATCCCAGACCCTGTGAGATGTTGACTACCTCGCCTGGTCTACAGGAGGTCGTGGGTTCGATCCCAGACCCTGTGAGATGTTGACTACCTCGCCTGGTCTACAGGAGGTCGTGGGTTCGATCCCAGACCCTGTGAGATGTTGACTAACTCGCCTGGTCTACAGGAGGTCGTGGGTTCGATCCCAGACCCTGTGAGATGTTGACTACCTCGCCTGGTCTACAGGAGGTCGTGGGTTCGATCCCAGACCCTGTGAGATGTTGACTACCTCGCCTGGTCTACAGGAGGTCGTGGGTTCGATCCCAGACCCTGGAGATGTTGACTACCTCGCCTGGTCTACAGGAGGTCGTGGGTTCGATCCCAGACCCTGTGAGATGTTGACTACCTCGCCTGGTCTACAGGAGGTCGTGGGTTCGATCCCAGACCCTGGGAGATGTTGACTACCTCGCCTGGTCTACAGGAGGTCGTGGGTTCGATCCCAGACCCTGGGAGATGTTGACTACCTCGCCTGGTCTACAGGAGGTCGTGGGTTCGATCCCAGGACCCTGGGAGATGTTGACCTACCTCGCCTGGTG